GTGATAGCAAAGACCATGGCCTGTATCAGACGCACCTTAGTCTCCAGAGAGACACCATTGCTCTTCAGTACTTTGGAGAGGTCCCTAACAACAGACTTTCCCATGGCAATACGTCTTCTAATTTCTACATATATATAAAATTCATTGTTGTTGTTGTGTGCTTTCGAGTCAGAACGAACTCATAGCGGGCCCTCCTTGTTGTTGTTGTTTGCTGTCAATTCAGAACTAACTTATAGCTGACCCTCCTGCAGGTTTTCAGAGACAGTAATTTGCACGGGAGGAGATTGTCCATCCTTCTCCCAGGTATAAATATATAAAATCCCAATTCCTCCGAAGGAAAATTACTGTATAATTAAAGATAGCCACTATCATCACTCCTATTCAATATTGAATTATAAGTCCTAGCTATAGCAATAAGGCAATAAAATTATATAAGAGCCATCCAAGTTGGCAAAGAGGGATTAAGACTATCTCTATTTGCAAATGATAGTAACCCAGATCTAGAATATCCCAAACACTCACCAAGAAGATTATTGTAATTAGTTAAACAATTCACCAAAATGACAGGGTATAAGATCAACATACAAAAATTAATTGTATTCCTCCATATTCACAAAAAGAACATAAAAAAATTAATCAGAATCCTCTACATTCACAAAGAAAAAGAAATAAAGAAAACAGTACTATTTACAGCTGTTGTTATTGTTGTTGTTGTTATGTGCCGTAGAGTCATCTGCAACCCATAGTGACCCTATGTACAGCAACTCTGAATCCTGCACTATACTGAGTCAGTCTCACTGATTCCAACACACCAATACCCGTTGCCCCAATTACAGTATCAGTCTATCTCATCCAGGATCTTCCTCTTCTGTGCCATCCTTTCACCCTTCTGAGCATGATGTCCTTCTCCTAGGATGGGTCCTTCTTGGCCATATGCCCAAAGTATGTGAGATGGAGCTTCAAAACCCTACCCTACAAGGAAAGACTTGGTTTCACCCTCTCCAAGACAGACTGATATGTTTTCTTGGCAGTCTATGGTATGTTCAAGATTCTTCTCTAGCACCACAATTCAAAGGCATCAATTCTTCTTCTGCCATTTACAGTAGACATTCACAAGATTAAATACTTAGAGATAAATCTAACCATAGACACAAAATATCTGTACAAAGATAATCACCAAACACTGTACAAGAAACAAAAGAATGCCCCATGTTCCTGGTAGGAAGACTTGACACTGAATGTGTCAATACTACCAAAGACAATCTACAGATACAATGCAATCCCAATTCAGATCACATCATCATTCTTCAAAGAGATTGACAAAGAAGTCATCAACTTCATATGTTGTTGTTGTGTACCATCACATCAGAACCTACCAGTAGCTGACTCTCCAGTGGGTTTTCAGAGACAATAAATTACACTGGAGGAGATTGACTGTGGAGCAGCTGATGAATTAAAACTGCATGCCTTTTGGGACGGTAGCACAATTTCTTACCACTAGGCCACCAGAAAAAAAATGGCATAAATAGACTATCAAATATAACCAAAATATGCAATCAACAAAGATTAAACTAAATTATTAAGACCTTATAAAAATGGAATCAATATGTTATTCCTTTTTAATGGCTGAATAATACACGATTGTGTAGATATACTACAATCACCAGTTAATGGGCATTTAGATTATTTCTACCCTTTCAGTATTGTGAAAACTGCTGCTATAAATATCCATAAACACATTTCTATTTGAGTACTGTTTTCATGTTTGAAGGTATATACCTTGGAGTAAATGACTGATTCATTTTCTATAAAATATCCAGAATATGTGAATTGATGAGACAGAAATCAAACTGGTGGTCAAAATAATAATAATAATAAATAATAAATATTTTATGTTGCTATAGGGTGCCAAAAATATTTAAGAATGAGTGGTAAGTAATGATTGCACAATATTGTGAATGTACTAAATGTCACTAAATTGTACACTTTAAAGTGGATAATTTTGTATTCTGTGCATTCTATCATAATAAGAAATATTATGATGCATGTAAGACATGATGGTAACATCATTATCATCAACCTCATCCCAAAATTTCAAAATTCACTTCAGAATGTTTTAATTGTAAGAAGAAAAAAAATAATACACATTTAAAAAAATAGTCTGCAGAAGAACCTTTGAAGAATATGTTCTTATCTCCTTTCTGTTCTCTTTCAGATTATGTCTGGCCACTACCAAGGTATTTGTGCCCCGTCTGGATTGCATTAGACGTATTGTTTTCTACGGCGTCCATCATGCACCTCTGCGCTATCTCGCTGGATCGGTATGTAGCAATACGTAATCCTATTGAGCATAGCCGTTTCAATTCTCGGACTAAGGCCATCATGAAGATTGCTATAGTTTGGGCAATTTCAATAGGTAATTACTAACTTTCCTGGCCATAAGAATTGCAGCGGCTATGCTCAATACTTTCGGATTATGTACTGTGAACAACGTACAGACGTCGACTGGTAACATTTGCGTATATTCGGGATACTGTGTAGCTGATTATTTTTAACCTATTCATATGAATGTAAAGGTTAATATTAATGAAAGATAAAATATAATATGTCTTATGACATCAATTAAAATTTTCTATTTATGCACTATTTGCTGCACATTAGTATGCCAGTGAATTCTGCAACACAGACATAAAAACTTTGAGATATTTAAAACATTGAAAATTATACATGTTAAACTCTAAATTTTAAAAATATTAACATTTGTAACATTAATCTCTCTATCTTGGACTATCAGTGCTCATAGTTCTAATTTCAAATCCTCTTTACTGAGAAATTAAATACTATTATTAGAATAGTTGTTACATAAATATATCTAAGTATATGCTGTTAACCTATTTTCTCTGCTTTTAATGTGTTCTTATACTCTGATTATATAGAGACAATGAAGTTGTTGATACTTTAAAGATTTGAACTTAGAACATAGAGAAATGATAATCTTATTGCTTTCAGGATTTGAAATATTTCTAATAGCTTTAGTAACACTTATATTAAAGTAAAAAAAATTAAACTGGATTGTAAGTATTTTTTACAATCCATTTTATTCCTTTTCCATTTGTAGATTATATTGTGTCTTATAAATCAATGCCCTTTTAAGCACATTTTTAAAAAAGATTCAAGTAAAGTGAGCAACAAGATAAAGACTTTTATAATTATATCATTCACTGAAATTATCCAAAGATATGGACTCTATTTATAGGTCAGATAAATTTAAATCTTGAGATTTTTCTCTTCTAGGTGAATACTTAAATATATTTAGAACACCAATACCTGCTTTCATAATATTTACAAAGGAAATATACAGATAAATGAGAACATCTTTTCTAATAATCTTCTAATAAAGACAGAATGAGTAATTTTTTAATGACTTGTGCAAAATATAACTTAAGATGTAGAAAAAACATTACTAGCATTGCAATGTTAAGAAAATATTGAAGAACTACTGGGCCAAGATCCAGAAAAAAGACAGAAGCTTGAAAAGTTACTCTGGCATTTGAGTCACTTTTCCCAGTGATGTATTAACAAAGCTGAAGATGTGACTGTGAGAATGAGAGGTTTATTTAATAGCCTCACAAAGAAAGCAAAAAGAAGAGGCACAAACTCAAAATACAGAGTTTGACTAGAATCAACCAACTTGAATTTAATGTTAAGATATTGACCATGCAAGAGCATTTGACTGGATGGATCATAATCAATTATTTATTGACAGCATTAAGAAGGATGGAAATTCCAGAATAATTAAATGTACTCATGCCAAACCTGTACATAGACTAATAAGTCATTTGAAGATAACAAGAGCATACTACATGGTTTAAAGTCAGGAAATGTGCATGTCAGGGGTATATCCTTTTTCCTATTCAATCTGTATGCTGAACAAGTCATTTGAGAAGCTGAAAAATAGAAAGAAGAATGTGACATCAGGCCTAGAAGATGACTCATCAACAACCTAATTAAGCATATGACATCACCTTGCTTTCAAAAAGAAAAGGAGACTCACAGCATTTAGTGAAGAAGGTTGAAGACTACATCCTATGTTATGAATTATAGCTGAACATCAAGAAAACAAAAATCGTCCCAAACAAATTGGCAACATCATGAGAGCTAGAGAAAAGATTGAAGTTGAAGATCCATTAAAGAATATAAGGCCCTCAGCCAGATGGATCAGCACAGTGACTAACAGTGAGTTGCGCACAGGAGAGAATGTGAGGATGGCATAGGATAGGCAAAATTTCAATCTGTTTTTCATAAGTTCTTTATAAATTGTAGTTTACTTGATGGCACAGAATAACAAGCAATAATATATTCTTACTATGACATTCAGGTTTTGTTCTATGTCTGTGAGAAATATTCTAGCAATGCTGTTCAACATTGCCAATGCTTCTAAATTTGAGGCAAGAAAAAATATAAAAATCTTAGGCCTCAAATAACTTTAGATGTACTTTTCAGAAGTATTAACTGACACACAGTTATGAACAAACAACACCGTGTGATCCAGATGCAGCAAAATAAAAGATAATAGAACTGAAACACGTAAACACTCCTGTTAAAGGAACGATCACATTCAGTTGTTGTTGTTGTTGTTGTTAGGTGCCATCAAGTAGGCTACAATATATACTGATCTTATGAATAACAGATTGGAATCTTACCCAACCCTGTGCAATCAAGGCCCTTGTAACAGTCACTGTGTTGGTTCATCTTGTTGGGGGTCATTCTCTCCTTCACTGTCCCTCTGCCTTCCTAAGCATAATGTCTATTTTCAAGGACTAGTCCCTTCTGACAACATGTCCAAGGTATGTGAGATGCTATTTCATCCTCCTTATCTCTAAGGAGTATCTTGCTTGTACTTCCTCCAAGACAGATTTGTTTCTTCTTTTGGCAGTCCATACTGCCAGGAGTATTTAATACTCATTGGCAATACCACAATTCAAAGACATCAATTCTTTGGTCATCATTATTCATTGTCCAACTTTCAGATGCATGCAAAGTAACTTGAGTCAGGTATAACTTAATCTTTTAATAGATGCAAAGTTTACACGATTATTTTAACTCTTTACACTTACATTAAAAGCATTCTGGCTGTACTTCCTCAAAGAAAAGTTGTTTGCTCTTCAGGAAGTCCAGAGAATCTTCAATAGTCTTCCCTAACACCACAATTTAAATGAGGAAATTCTTCAGTCTTCATTTTTCATCATCAGACTTTCATATGCATACCAAAACCACCTATCCATTGCCTTTATAGGAGATTCAGACTCATAGTGACCATATAGGAGCGAGTAGAATGGTCCCCCTAGCTTTTCAAAGCTATGAATTTGAACAGGAACAAACTGCCTCATCTTTCTTTCTCCCACTGAGCTGCTAGTGGAGTTTAACTACCACCAATACATAAACTACCATGCCCTTAAAAGACCATGATTTGGGCAAGATGTACTTTATCAAAGTGGCATCCTTGCTTTTTTAACATGCTACAGCATTTTTTGGTGAAATATTTGCCCAATTGCTTGACAGTTACTTTCATGAACATTGATTGTTGATAAAAAAATTAAATTATTGGCAATTTCAATTTTTTGGCTATTTATTAAGATACTATCAATCCAGTTGTATTTTTTACATTTACAGAAGATTTACATTTTATTTATTGTTAGGTGTTAGCATAAAAAAGGATCAGTAAGTGCTTCAAATCTTCTTTACTCTTTGCAAGCAGCACAGTGTCATTGTACTATTGAGTCAGAATAGACTCATAGCTCACCCTCTGAGGGGTTTTCTGAGGCAGTAAATCACAAATAAGGAGAATGCCCATCTTTCTCCAATGGAGTAGCTGTTGGATTCCAACTTACAGCCTTTGAGTTGGCAGTACAACTCCTTACCACAAAGATACATCAGCTTAATTATCCTTGAATCCTAATGCCATGATCTTCTTCATATAATCTCCAGTTGTTGGTTTCCAACAAATTTTGGCAATGATATTAGAATAAAAGAATTAGTCTCTTAGTCATTTACTACTAATATAACTACAATATAGTGATTTATCTTACTCTATTATTCTTTCTACTTTTATTAGTTGTGTTTCTTTTCATTTGCCGCTTGCCTAGTACTTCTTCAATCAGTACAAATGTATGTATTCTTTTGTGGTTGATGTAAAAGAATTAATCAATTGCTACCTTTGATTATTTTAATGCTCTAATAATCTCAGATGTATCTGGTGAGAACACATTTTGATATACCCAAAAGTTTTTAAACACTTTCCATACCTTACTCTTGAAATCAGCCATTTTTTCCTGAGATCTTTGTTCCTTCTATAGAGAACATTGTTTTAAACCAAGATATAGGCTCACATTATTGCTTCATATCTATTTCTTTAATTCCAATACTCTGAAACAAAATTCTTCTAGTTTTGCATTTTCTTATTTTTTTATAATTAGTATTCTTTTCCTCCAAAGCATTATTGTATTCATTCATTTTATACTTCCTAAATATAACAAATTAGTATCTGAATTATTATTTCCATACCACTACCAATAATTAAACTGCCATTTTTAAAATTCCATTGCTTTTTTAAGAATATTTGCTAGTGAGAGTATGTAGTCAAATTATTGTTTATTTAATGCTCTAATGCACACACACACACACACACACACACACACACACACACACTTGAATACTAGGACCTCCCCTAATCAGTTCTCTAAAGATTCTTATCTAACTATATTTTACAATTCTGGGGCATTCTTTTAAGTCAATTTCTCACAAAGTAATTTAAGAATGTCTCTTTATCAGTACCATTGCAGTCACTTTTATTTACTTAAACATGTCTGTATTCCTACAGTACCCAAACTAAAACTAGTTGAGGTACCATGTTCGAAGACTCGATATCAAAAGAAATCTAAAAGTTCAATGAAATCCCAATACAGATACCAATGCTATTCTTCAAAGAGCTGGATAAGCTAATTTCCAACTTTATTTAGAAAGGAAAGAGACCTCAAATAAGCAAACCTGTACTGAAAAAGAAAAACAAAATGGGAGGCACCACACTTCCTGATCTATAAATTCACTACTAGGAGAAGAAATCCTTTAAGTGAGAAAACAATGGCCTCTTTAAAAACTGGTGCTGACAAAACTGGACATCCATCAGCTGAAAAGGAGCTCTGACCCCAGTGATAATTTGTACTGCTAAACCTAAGAATTGGAATCTACCAGCTGCCGTGTGGGGAAAAGATAAGCATTGTCCTCTTGTGAAATGTAAAGCCTATCAAAACCCACTGGAAGGTTAGCTATGAGTTGGTTCCTATGTGGCAGAACACATCAACAGTATCTGCAGAAGACTTAAATAAGACTCACACGTCATACCAGACACAAATAAAC